ACCACCAGGGCTCCCCATTGTACAAGAGCAGTGAGAGATGGACTCATGAACGAGGAGGGTTCTGTCGGGGCTTTGCTGCTCTGTGCCCCTCTTCAGGACAGGGAGGGATCCGGGGAATGCCTGTGTGCACATCCTTGAATTGAGCCCAAGGAACCTTGGTGGAGCAGTGATTAAGCACTCAGCTGTGAGCCAAAAGGTTGGTGGTTCAAACCCACCACTGCTCCATGGGAGAAGGATGTAACAGTCTCCTTCCATAAAGATTTACAGTCTTAGAAACCCTGTGGGGGCAGTTCTACTCTGTCCTATAGGATCGCTATGAGTCGGAAACAGCTTGATGGCAACGGGTTTAGCTTTTTTTTTTTTTTTAATCCAGCCCTCAGTCTACCCCAGAATGGAGTGAGTGTCCCAGGAGAGTAAGCCTTGCACAGAGTGTTTTAGGGTCTGTCTTCACATGAAAGGAGTAGTTAAAGTATTAGGCTGCTAATCAAGAGGTTAGTGGTTCAAACACACCAGCTCCTCCACAGGAGAAAGATGAAGCAATCTGTTTCCATAAAGATTTACAGCCTTGGAAGCCCTATGGGGTTCTGTCCTATAGGGTCGCTATGAGTCAGAATGAACTCGATGGCAGTGGGTTTGCGTTTTGGTTCTTTATATGAGATTGGATTAGATATATTCATAGGGAAGCTGTGATTTAAAGTGCAATTTAACATCTGCCCAGCCCTTTGTACCAACTCTCAGTTAAAGAGCAAAGAAGAGGTGCTCACAGCCCTTCTGTGTATATAAAAACCCTGGGCAGAGGCAGAATTCAGAGAAGGCAGAGTCTTAAGGGGCTTCAGACCTACTTCCACTGTAGCAGCCTAAGGGGAACAGCAAGCAGGCTTCATTTCTTCTGCTGATTCAGACTGGGCCATGCCAGTTGATTATTTAAGCATTAGAGTGGCTTGTGCAGTACAAGGCATTATCTCCATTTTACATATGAAGTCATTAGGGCTCAGTGAGATCCATAGTTACCCATAGCATGTGGCCAACCTGGGGTTAGAAGCCAGGCAGTTTGAACTCCAAGCCAAGTGCATCACTGAGCAAGTCTAATGGGCTTTAAGGGTGTCAGCATGGTGCAAACAGTTACACACTGAGCTACCAACCAAAAGGTTGACAGTTCAAACTCACCGAGAGGGGCCTGCAAGCTATTTCCAAAAGATTACAGCCATTGCCAGCCCTGTGTTACAGCTCGATTCTAAAACACATGGGCCTGCTATGTTGGAATCCACTTCATGGGGACTGGTAATGGGCTTTGGGAATTCGTAAGCACATGGCTTAGACCAATAGGCTCACAATGAATCTGTTGATTTGAGGGGCTTAGAACCCTAGGGACCATGGAGGGTGGGAAGGTGCCAGTGCCGATAGCATTGGAGTAGTATCACTGCAGCAGTAGGAATGCAGGAGAGATTACAGCCCTGAGGATGGCACTAGGGGAGCAGCCAGGGAGGCTCAGCCAGGAGAGTCCCTGCGTTTGTTTCACAAAACCAGGATCTGTCATACATGGCCAGTTTCTGAAATGAATCCACAAGGCAGGCCCATTAGTCTAAATACTTTAATTAAAATGCATTATAATATGAAAGCCAGAGGGTAGATACAGCATCCGTGTTTACTAATAAAACAGATCAGAACATCCCGGGTATCTGTATACATTTGGATAACGAACTTAATTAAATTTTGAACAGGTTCTTGGTTTGAACTTCATTTAAAATATTGACGCGGTTAAGAAAATAACTTGCTATTCATTTTCTGCCAAAATGCAGGAAGTGTCGAGACATTTCAAATTAATAGAGATTCAAAATGTATAAACGAAGGTCCTGTTTCAGCTGCAGATTACAGAATTTCAGAGCTGTATCATCCATATCTTGGCAACTAAACCATAATTCAGTTTACAGAATAAAGCCAGCCCTCAATTCAATTTACCTAATAGCCCACGTTTGTGGAGGTGCAAGTTTAATGAGATAGTTCAGTGAAGGAAAGACATTGCTAATCTCATTTCAAAATCAATTTTCCCCAGGACAGTTCTTGGGAACCTTGAGAATCTCTCAGTTTATATACTAAGCAGTATACATCCGAGGGTTGATATCTAAAAGGATATTCATATAAAAAAAGATTCTTTATAAAATAGGATCTCACAGTGAAGGTGCCCTTGAAACATTCAGCCATCTATGGAAGGGCAATGTGTTAAAGTGTATCTCAAATACTTGCTAAAGATGGAACTTTTTGCTATGCTCGGATATTGGAATACGTAGTGCAAATATGTGAACGGGAAGTGGGATGGCCACCATCCATCTGTCAGTCTGTCATACTGTGATGGCTTGTGTGTTGCTATGCTACTGGAAGCTACGCCACCAGTATTTCAAATACCAGCAGGGTCATCTGTGGTGAACAGGTTTCAACAGAGTTTCTAGACTAAGGCAGACTGAGAAGAAACGTCCGGGGATTGAGTTTTGAAAACCAGGCAGTGAAAACCCTACGTTGCCCATCAGAGTACCGGAAGGTGAGCCCCCTGGGTTGGAAGGCACTACGATAGCTGCAATAATGGACTCAAACACGCCAACAATCATGAAAACAGCAAGGGACCGGGCAACGTTTTGTTCTGTTGTATATGGGACTGTCATGAGTTGGTGCTAACTCAATGGCAGCTAACACCAACAACACATGGGGATGGTAAAACCAAAAAAACCCAACCCACCACCACCACCACCACCACCACCACCACCAAGTCGATTCCAACTCATAGAGATGCTATAGGACAGAACAGAACTGCCCCATAGGGTTCCCATAGCTGTCACTCTTTATAGAAGCAAACTACCTCATTGTTCTCCCATGAAGCAGCTGCTAGGTTCGAACCACTGATCTTCTGGTTAGCAGCCGAATGCCTTAACCAATGCGCTACCAGAGTTCCTTGGGGATGGTAAAGGAAAAACAAACCTGCCAAGTCCTCCAGACTTAAAAGTCCCCCTCTACTTAAAAACAGTGTTTATCAGTGAAATTATGTCTGCACAAGTTTGCTGCAGCATGATTTTTCACAGCAGAAGGACTGGAAACAACCCAAATGCCCATCAATGGGAAAGTGGTTACATGTTAGGGCACTTGGTACAATAGTACATGGTAGTCACATACTGATAGGAAATTTTCTCCAAAATAAATTAAATGAAAAAGAACAGTGGTTCTAGTATATCATCATTTCTGTATTTAAAAAAAACAGGCAGAGAATGAGGATGAATTTGCATATTTCCTTGTGTGAGCATAAAACATCCCTGAAAGAATATGAAACAAATTGACACAGTGATTGTTTCCAGGGAGAGGACCTTGGAGGCTGGGGGCAGGGGTAAGAGATCACATTTTTAGTAGGGACACTTTTGTGTCTTTTGAATGTTAACCTATATTATTACCTATTAAAATAAATGATGAAAATATAGTTAAAAGGATAAAATAGTTATATGGACCCTCATTATATTCAATATGATGGTGACCAAGATCACGTAATATGTCAAGAACTAGATAAAGCTGTTCTTTACCTGGGGATTTGGGAAAGTTTATCCAGCCTAAAGGAGCCCAGGTGTTGCAACGGGTTACACTGTTGACTGCTAACGGGTTGGCAGTTCAAAACTCCCCCGTGGCTCCGCAGCAGGAAAGACCTGGAGATCTGTTCCTGTAAAGATTACAGCCCAGGAATCTGTGTCACCTGGAGTGGCTATGAGTCAAAAATTGACTCGCCAACACCTCACAACAGCTCGGGGGCTCCCATATTTCATTTTCAGAGTGCTTTTAGGATGGACCAACACACAGGTTTGTGAGCCTCAAAGGGCCCTTCAGCAGCTCTCAATGCTTCTGACAAGACAGTCATTTTACGGAAAATGAGTGGCCTCAATTGGGACTCCAGGCCTTTGGAAAGAAATGAACCAATACCAGCTTTTATTTTTAATTACTGGCTCCCTCAAGAGCCATTCAGTACGCAATTAAAGCCTCTCAATAAATATTCATTAACTGAATGACCCTTCTTCCATTTCTTGAATCATAAAAGCAACATGGCATCAGATCTTGAGAAACTTGGGGGGAGCTTAAGTGCTGTCATCAGCTGTAAGATTGTGTCTTTCCAAGGTGCCACCTTCGTCTCTATAGTAACAGATGGATTCCTGCTGATGGGAAATGGGGCTCCTAGCTGTGCCTGAGGAAGCTGCGCCTTGGTGGCTGGCCCTGCACCCTAGAAACGTCACAGCCCCTTGCCATAGTAACTGGTCTGAGATAAAAGCATCGGACCCAGAATAGAATAGTGGTGGTGGGGGGAAATAAATAAGTACTAAGCACCCTAACAAGGAGCCCTGGTGGCGCAACGGTTAAGCGCTCAGCTGCTAACGGAAAGGTTGAACCCACCCACCTGCCCTGCGTGAGAAAGATCTGGCAATCACCTATCTCCTTCTGTAAAGATTAACGCCAAGAAAACCCTGTGGGGCAGTTCTACTCTGTCACGGGGGTCACCAAGAGTCCGGCTGGACTGTTGGGCACCCAATCACCATCCTAACAAGCATTATATTCCTTAAGGTGACTGCCCAGCAAAGAAAAATGGCATCCAATAATCCCACTAAATCAAACAGTACCACAGCCCTCCTTTCTGCTGAAATGGGGGAGAGGACAGAAGCGGGGAATCCCTGAGGTGAAAATTCACACATTCAATGATCCTTTACTTCGACAAAGCTTCTTGGTGCCTCATTCTATCCTCTGCCTCTAAGATCTTTAAAGCTAGAAAGTAAGTTCGTTCTTATAAACAACAGTTGATTTCAAGGCTACGCCTGAGAAGCGGGTGTGTCAGGGTAGCGCCGTGGACGGGGTGGTTAACTGGGAGCGACCGAGGCCACTACTGCGGGAAAGCTTCTCCCGGGGACGCATCTGGCGTGCGCTTCCGGTGCTGGCCGGACGGCGGCGCGCGGGCCCCGGCGCGAGGGGCGCCTCGGGTCGCCTCACTCCTCCTTCTTCCCCTCAGGGATCTCCGCCGACAGGATCTGCTCGTCCGGCTCCGGACCGGGGCTCATGCGGATCCGCACCGAGTGCTCCTCAGCCTCGGCCGCCAGCTCTGCGCCTCCCTCGGGCCTCCCGGGAGAAGCGGGTGGCGGAGAGCGCGCGGCCGGGGGATCCAACGGGGCGGGCGCGGGGGACGCGGCCTGCTCCGGGGCGGCCTCCGCCGGGGCCGCGGGCTGGTCGGGGGCGGCCTCCGCCGGGACCGCGGGCTGGTCCGGGGCGGCCTTCGCCGGGGCCGCGGGCTGGTCTGCGCCGGCTGAGCCTGCCTCTCCGGCGGCGACTTCCGAGCTCTTGCCCTGGAATATGCAAAGGAAGATCGGTGAGGCGCAGGTGGAAGGTTGGAGGGGTCTACTGACTCGGAGACCCCTTCTGGTCCCCGCTCCCTCGACCCACAAGGGGGCGGATGGCGCAGCGCGCAGGGTATAAAATCTAGTGACTCGGAGCGGAGCTATATCAGGGTTATTTGGTTGAAATAGAATATGTTATGGTGACGCTTAAGGATTCAAAGTCCCCGTTAGACTTAGTGGGAGGTCTTGGGGGATATTTTAGATCTCTGCTGAGTCGGGCTCGAACCTTGGGTGAAGTTGCTAATTCCAGGGCAGAGCCTGTCTCTGAGCCATTGATGGAGAGGACATGGAATGCACAGGCTGTGACCATGAGGGAGAGCTACCAAGTGGGACCTGGCTGCCCTGCTCAGCCTCAGTTTCCAGGCAAGGGTGCCCTTGGAGTGAGAAAACTAAACAAACTAGGTAAAAGGTGATGAGGGGAGGAGCAGCTGGTGGCCTGACCACCTCTTGGGAAGGTCTGAGCCGAGCCACGCCTTTGGGGACCTGATGGGTCTCCTGTCTGCTGGGCCTCCATAGAGTTTGGCCGTGGTCTTTGTATCAGCAGGGCATTGGGTGTGACTAAAATTGGGTTCTCTGCACAAAAGGACCCTGGAGAGGGAACTGGTCCCCAGATGAGAAAGCCCAAGTGGTCCTCAGCTGCCCCAGCCCCACTTGAGGTGATGGGAGTGAATTTAAATGGAGCAGTCAGGGTGCTTATGAGGAGTAGAGCCCCTGGAGTTTGCTCAAGCAGATAGGACACTGAAGGAAGGAAGCAGAGAGAGGGGAACAAAGATGTTGCTAGAACTCAGTGCAGCTCTTGGGACCTGTTGCTCTCTCTGTCTCGGTATTTCTGCATCTTTTGAGGCATCTGATGCACCCTCCTCTGTCTACACTAAACTGTGACCACGTACTTCCCAGGGAGGATGCTGGTGGTGGTGGTGGTGGTTGTGTGCTGTCAAGTCGGACCCGACTCATAGAGACCCCTCCTTGGGTTTCTGAGGCAGTATCACTACGGAAGTAGATTGCCCCATCTTCCTTCTGAGGAGTGGCTGGTGGGAGGGAGGATGCTAGGTGCCCATAACCCGACTCCTCGAAGCATCTGGCTATGTGTGGAAGCAGAGAATCATGGGAAGTTCAAAATGCTTTCACAAAAGGTCTCCTGCTTGATCTTTTCAACCCTACGTGGCATCCATGAGTCATCTGGGTCTCAAAAAGCGTGATGAGCTTCCCTGGTGTCATGGAGCTGGCGGGTGACAGAGTGGAATCTGGGCCTAGGATTTGTATTTAAGAGCTCCCTATCCTCTGCCATTCTTTCAGTTGTTCTGGATTGCAGGGAAATAACCTTTTTCTTGGAACAATCATGCATATTCAATTTTCAACTCAAAACCCAGGAGTGACAAGGCCCATGTCAGATACAGCTTTTCGCTGTACCTAGAACATTCTTGGAATCCACTTGAGAGTCATGTCCACCTTTGATTTTCCCAGTCCCACCCAGTCTTTAGTCCTACTAAAGACTTCAAGTTACCGGCTTAACTTTGCCATTGACATTTGGTGAACCAGGCAGTCCTGCCTTTCTTCAGTGGGGTCATCAGTGGCTACACATGGAGAGTGTCTTGGGACCTTTGATGGCTTTGGTGTCACTCATCAGACTCCTGATGTCAAATGCCCCCTGGATGGGCCCCCTGGGCTCCTACACCAGCCTGTATTGAGGCTGAGTTCATCCTGCCCAACTCCAGACCCCCCTTTCCCAGCAGCCTCCCTAAAGGACAGTCATTAACAGTCATAATTACTGCAGTCATTCTAATTGGCATTCTTGGCTTTAGTCACAGAAAAAAAACCCAGAACTAATTTTTAAATTCCCTTTAGATTTATGGGGGTGGGAGCAATTGGCACTGTGCCTGCCTGCAGGATTTTGCTGTAAAATGTTTTAAATTGTCACCTACACCATATTAAATATGGGACTTCACTCTCATCTGGGGAGGGATGTGCCCTGTTCACATCCACATCTACCACTGCAACAGCAACTGGACTTCCCTTTGAGGAACTGTCCCTCCCCTGCTCTCAGTATGGGGGTTAAGTATGTGACTCAGCCTTCTCCAGAGCACTGCATCCCTGCACCCACAGTGATTGGTTCAGGAATTAACATGTGACCCAATTCTGTCCAATGACAGCGAGCCCTGGGACTTCTGCTAGAATCAACAGGCACGTACTTTCTGCTCCAGTTGCTAACCTAGCAGATGTAATCCTAGAGGGGGGCTGCCCAGGAATGGAGCTTCACCAAGGAAAGCAGAGATGAGAGAATGAGAAAACTGGTCCTGCTGCCATCATTGGGGCTCCTGAATCCAGTCTTGCCTGAACTTTTCAATTATTTGACCCACCAAATCGCCTATTTTCTTAAGCCATTTGAGCTTGCACTCTGTCACTTGCAATCTGAATTTTGCAAAAGGGATCCTGGCTGATATAAAGCAGGAGGAAAAAAAAAAAAAAAACAACCTAAAACTAATGTAAATGTGTGGTCCATACTCTGAGGCCCCTTGGCCTTCTCCCAGGCACATAGCAGAAACGCACAGGGTGGCTGGGCTGCCAACTACATTACCTGTTCCAATAACTGCTGCTGCCTCGCAGCTGCCTCCAGAGCAGCCAGTTCTTTGAGCCGAGCCCTGAGGTGGGCAAGCCTGCCGCCTTTTGCCCCCTTGGGGCCCAGCTTTCCGGCCGCGGCCAGGGCAGCGTTGAAGAGCTTGGGGGTGCCGGCCCGCGGGGGCAGGATGAGCACGCTCTTCTGCTCCTTGGGCTTGTTGTTATTTCTCAGCATGCGCCTGAAAGAAAGCAGCGCCCGCTCATATCACAGGCTCTCTCTGGGAGAGAGGAAAGGCTGATTTGTGTAGAATCCTTCAAGTTGGGGTTGTGTGGTGGAGGGTTTGGGACTAATGATTTTTGCAGGGTTTTCTGTGCCAAGCACAGTGGCAAGGACTTAACACATAGCATCTCACTGAATGAGCAGGACAACCATGCAAACATGCTTCTTACTCTCTGTACCTTATAGACAGGAAGCTGAGGCTCCGAGAGGTTGAATAACTTGTCTGAGCTCACACAGTTCAGAAATACTGGAAGCCACGTTGATTTATAGGATCAGAAATGGCATACCGGTTGCTATTGAGTCAACTCCAACTCGTGGTGACCCCAAGTGTGTCAGAGTGGGACTGTGCTCCAAAGGGTTTTCAATGGCTGATTTTTTTGGAAGTAGATTGCCAGGACTTTCTTCTGAGGCACCCCAAGTGGACTCAAACCTCCACCCTTTTGGTTCGCAGCTGAGCATGTCAATCATTTGTACCCAGGGACTCCAGAAATAGCATAAAACCAAAAACCAAACTCACTACCATCGAGTTGATTCCAACTCATTGTGACCCCCATTGGGTTTCCGAGGCTATAAATCTTTACAGAAGTAGATTTCCCCATCTTCCTTCTGGGGAGCAGCTGGTGGGTTTGAACTGCCACCCTTCTGGTTAGCAGCCAAATGCCTTATCCACTCCACCACCAGAGATCCTTAAAACCAGCATACCCAAATGAAAAAAGCTAAAGGACCCCAAGCTGCTTGCTTCTCCTTCTGCTTCATCGTCACTTCACCATCACCATTAAACATGGCCAGCACTTACTGTGTGTCTGTATGTGTCAGACCCTAGCCTCGGTCCTTCACAGCCACTCTGTGGTGAACAGACCCTAAGGTGTCCCCGTGATCCCTACCTCTTGGTGTTCACCTTCTGGGTGACCCTTTGAGGGTGGGCAAGACTTGTGCCTTGCTTTTAACAAATAGCGTAAAGCAAGGGTGATGGGAGGTCACCTCCATAATTACAATAGCTGGGATTGTGACCTCATCTTGCAAGGAGACTCTCTCCACTTGTGGCTTGCATGGCCCATGTGGCAGGAAACTGAGGGCAGCCACTGCTTTCTAGGAACCGAGGGTGGCCTCTGTGACAGTGAGACACCAAAGCTGTCAGCTGCAAAGAACAGTGCGAGCCTGGAAGCAGATCCTTCCCAACCTGAGACTTGACACGAGACCCAGTTCTGGCTGACATCTTGATTCCAGCCTTGCAAAGACCCAGTAAAGCTGTCCCCAGACTTCTGACCCACAGAATCTCTGAGATAATGACTGTGTGCTGTTTAAAGCTGCTAAGTTTGTGATGTCACACAGCAGCAGATACCAAACACACTGTCTCATTTCAGTGTAACTACAACCATCATGGAATCCGAGGGTGGTGCAAATGGTTAACGTGCTCAGCAGCTAATCAAGAATTTGGAGGTTCGAGTCCACCCCAAGGCACCTCAAAAGACAGGCCTGTCAACCTACTTGGAAAAGATTAGCCACTGAAAATGCTATGGAGCTCAGTTCTACTCTGACACACAGGGCACCATGAGTTACACTCAATGCAATGGCAGCAGGTACAACCCCCACAGGGTTTGTTTAATTTCCAAATAAGGATGGAGGCCCAGAGGGGGTGAGTAATTTGTCCAAGGCCACACAGCTAGGAAGTGGCAGAGTTGAGACTCAAACCCATTCCTCTGACCCCAGTGCCCCAGATCTTACTAATCACAAAGCACCATCATGGTCAATATCTTCCTGGAAGCTGACAGCACCTTTTTGAGAAGGAAAGGGCTGTGGTTATATTGCGGAAACTGAGACTCAGAGCCAGTGGAGTGATGTGCCCAAGGTTGCCAGGAAGTGGCAGAGGCGGATGATAACCCAGGTCTTCTAAATGCATTGCGTCACCCCGTGTCTCTACATGAGGATGGAATTTTCCGTCACACAGAGCCCCGGCCTTGACAGGGAATTTTTCCTGCTACAAATATGTGATGAGTGGTTTGGCTCAGGAACAAACGTGTCTCGCCTGCAGTCTAACGGGCCTAGACTGCTAATTGGCAAATCCATTCATCATTGTTCCAGCGCAACTTGTTTGTTTAAAAATGAGGCCCTTACCAGCTGCTTATCTAATCAGAGGCAACGGCTTTAAATTGTGCATATTGATATTAATTGCCCAAGACTAGCATTCCCTAGCTGGGGCGCCCACAGGGGACCACAAACATGATAATTCATCAGAGGCCTGGCACTGTCACCTGGGTTATTTCAGTCCATAATTCACAGCATGCCAGTCCTCGGGAAGGCTCAGTGTGGTACTCGGATGACACAAAAGAACAGTCCAGAAGGCCCTCACTGACTGCTAATGGCTGGCCCTGTTTTGAAACATTGAGCTGCCTTCCATGATGTTTCCAGATTAAGGAAAATCATAAAAAACAAACTCACTGCCTTTGAGTTAGTTCCGACTCATAGCAACTCCTCTTTGGGTTCTGAGGTGGTATCTCTACGGAAGTAGATTGCCCAATCTTCCTTCTGAGGAATGGCTGTGGGTTTGAACCACCAGCCTTCTGGTTAGCAGTCAAATGCCTTAGGCACTATACCACTCGAGCTCCCAGATTAAGGAAATCCATATTCATTTTCAGATGACGCTTGGCCCTATAATTAGGATGGACCATTCACCTCAGGTGGCGTTGACGGTTTGCAGTCAGCTTCTTACCAAAATGTTTGCGCCTACCCAGTGGCTCAGGAAAGAAAGACCTGATAATTTGCTCCCATAAAGATGACAGCCAAGGGAACCCTGCGGAGCAGTTCCCCCCGTAACACATGGGGTCGCCATGTGTCGGAATCAACCTGAGGGCAATGGGTTTAGCTTGTTTTAATTTGCCCCTGGAAAGAATGGCATTTTCACCAGTTTCAGCCCCTTTTCTGGGGGTGGCAAGCCGGGACTGTGAGCACTTCACTTGCTTTGGGACCTCAGGTGACCCCTCTGTAGGATGGGGGGCTTGCACAGAATCCCACGGGTGGCTTTTCCAACACAGGCGTCCTGGGCCAGTGGTAGAGTGTGAATGTGACCCCCCACCTCTCTTCTCAAGTCTAGAGAGCCAGCCACTCGGGAATTAAGCCCCAGCCGCCAGCCCAGAGCCTCCAGCACCTCCATGCTGCAGGGCTCTGCAGCCCGAGCATTCTCTAGCTGCCCCTCCTGCAGCCTCCTGGCCTCCTCCAGGGATACGGGCTCCCCACAGACAGTGCCGAGGAGTGGAGCCCCCTGCACTGCTCTTGGGAGGGCTCCGAGGGACCCCGCTGATTTGCCGGACCCTCTGCTGATGGAGCCAGAGGGATGAAATGACAGCTACCAGTGTGGCTTTCCTGAGCCTTGCTCCTTTGCAGGAAAGTGGGAGAGAGTGTGGGGGAATCTGGTGCCAGTTCTCAGAGACTTTCCCGTCCCTCAAAGGAGTAGGGATTGGCACGCAGAGCTGACATGGCTGGGGAAGCGGGTGGATTTTGTGGAAAAAGTTCAGATGGCTGGCCTTTCAAAGGGCTCAGTGACCTCCCTGGAGTCCTCAGTGGTGCAAACCATTCACGCGTGTGGCTGCTAACCAAAAGGTTGGTGTTTCTGATCTACTCGGAGGTGCCTAGGAAGAAAGACCTGGTCATCTACTTCCAAAAAATCAGCCATTTAACTCCTGTGGGCACAGTTCCCCTCTGACACACACTGGGTCACCAGGAGTCAGAGTTGACTTAAGGGCAACTGGTCTACTCTTCAAAGAAGCCACGGTCATTAACGCCAGAAAACGGCTGAGGAAGGATCCCTGATTAAAGGAGAAGAAAACTACACAGCAACCCAATGCCATGTGTGATCCTAGGTTTGACCAGGAAGGGAACAGAAAAGCTATGAGAGACGCTCCTGGGGCAGTGAGTGAAATCTGAGTGCGGACTACGGATGACGTGATAGTACTGACACAACACTCAACTCTCCCGACTTGGATGAAGCACTGTGGTTATGTAAGAGAAAGTCCCTGTTCTTCAGAGATGCACTCCGAGGACTGCACGAGGTTTTTGAAGGGAAAAAACCATCACGCACCTGGCTTTCTTCCGGAGCAACTTCTGGGACTCGGGGTAATGCACCAAAATTTCGTTCAGGTCCTTCTTGTCCAGGATGAAGAGGTTGGTGAACCCGTGGGCCACCACGTTGGCCGTGCGCCGATTCCCGCCCCCAACAGCCAGCAAGCTGGGCCAGAAGAGAGGGAGGAGGGACGTTTGCAGGCTTCCGCTTTGATACCATCACAATCTTCATTGTGCCTCCTGTGTTGAGTCCAGCAGCAGCCCGTGCGGCTGAGAGCCTGGGCCCACCCTGCATATGTCTGCAGGTACTGGGGTGCAGTCACAGCAGGGTCCTCAGCCCGCCCCAAGCAGCCCTCCAGGACATGGGCTTGTCCACTGGCCATTTCCTCAGCCTCCCCCACCCCCAGCCTCTGCCCAGCGCACCTCATGTCACCCCTCCTGTCTGACCTTATTTCTCCAAACACCGAGCCAGCCTTCAGTGTCACCAGCACAGACTTCCCATCCGGGCCGCCCAGGACCTGAACCTGGCCCGCCTGGATGATGTACATCTCACGGCCAATCTCCCCCTGAAACAGAGACAGGGCTGGTTCCTCTGCCCATCCCCACCCCCCAGAGAAGCCTCAAGGGCTGGGCCCACAGCCAGGAGGGGCCTGCTCTGGTCCTGGCCCTGCCACCATCCTGGCCTGTGGTGTGGGGCCGGCCACTCCCCCTCGTGGCCTCAGTCTCCCCATCTGTGGATTGCGGACAGTGACTATGCCCTGCCCTGCCTAACTGGCAGGCTTATGATGAGGAACGAGTGGTGCCATGGAAGGAAAATGCTGGGGAAGCTTTCAGGTACAGGTATAACGGTTCCTGCCGATTCCCGATCACACACACAGACGGAGGCCCAGGGCCTGGAAAACCTACCGGCATCTAACAACAGTCTTTACAGAAAGAAATTGCCAGGTCTTTTTCCCACACAGCCACTGGTGGGTTCAAACCACTTAATTAGCAGCCGAGCACTTAACCATTGTGCCACCAGGAAAATAGCAACACAATTGCACCTACTCTTTTCCAGGCACAGTGCCAAACTCTATGCACATCTTATTTAGTTCTCACAATCACGCTGTGAGGGAGGTGTTACCGATATCCCTATTGTACCCAAGAGAAGATGGATACTCAGAGAGGGAAAGCCACTCACCCAAGGCTGCACAGCTAGGAAGTGACTTCAATGTCAGAAAAATCACTATATTGCTACCAAACTGTATTGGCCTCTAAGGCTGCAGGTTTAATTTCTCAGCCATCTGCAGCACCCCTTGCCTTTTTTTCCCTGGCTCACTGCTTCCAGAAACTTCACTGGTGCACAGCACACAACCTGGATGCAGGGGCCTTCTTGAGGCTGTCAGGGTTCCTGAGTCCCCAGGGGTTAAGTGAGCAATACTTTCACCTCTACACACACACCCAGAGGACTATAATGCGGGTTCCCATACCCCTGACCACTCACTCACCAGTGACCTCCATCTCACCTTCAATTCCAAAGAGTGGGAGCAGAAAAGGCCCTAGACACTATCTAGCCCTGGGATTCAAACCTAAATGTTTTCTCGGAGCAGATGTAAAGGATTGAAAGGGGCCTGGTGTGGGGCTATAGGGAGTGGTAGGGCCTGTGGCAGCAGGAGAAAGCATGATTCCCCCCATCAGGGGCAGCCCCTCACCCACTCCAGCTGACCCTTCCTGTTTGAGAAAGCAGGGTCCACCATCAGCATTTTCCAAGTGAAGCTAGAAATCTGGATTATAATGTGAAAGCTCCTCATACTTAAAAGTTGGGAATTAATTCAAATTAAAAAAAAAAAAAAAAGATCATGCCAAAAAAACCCACAAAGATCCACAAGACATCTGTGGGCTGGATTGAATACACGGGCCATCAACTTGCAGCCTCTGCTGTAGTCATACCCCATTTTCCTGATGGGACAGCTGGGACCTAGAAGTGGTTCTAGCTACATAGTCAAGGCCCTGCCCCTCTTCAGACCCCTTGCTTTCCTTGTCTGTGAAGTGGGCGTCCTCATCTTGGACCTCCACGGTCCCAGGTCCGAGGGAGCTGTGGAAGTTCTTTGCAAAGTGTGAGGCACACCTGTGTTCACTGCCAGAGCCTCCTGGTCCCACCCAAGCAGCAGCTCTTGGTAAGATCACCATTGCACGGAGCTGCAGCCACTCCTCCCTCCCAGCAATTCCGCTCTCCTCGAGCCCTTTGCAGGCGCCCCCCCGGAGCCCAGCTCCTTGAAAAGGTTGTGGATCCCAGACTGAGTCCACAGTCACCTCCAGCCACTCACCTTCTTACACACGTAGTCATTGGGCAGGTAGACAACAGAGCGAAGCCGCTTCAACATGTCGAAGATCATCTGCCGGTCACAGCCCTGTCCCAGAGAGGAGGGGAAGGAGCCCCGTGTAAGGGCAGGTGTGTATGTGCGGGGCCTCCCAGAGCCCTGAGGGAAGGGACGCTGGGCGTGCCATACCTGGAAGAGTACCACTTTGCTGACAATTTCGTAGTTCACATCGATGGCGAGGTCCAGCCGCATCTTGTCTGGAAGCTGCACCATCAGCTCTGACTCATCTGTGAACGAGACCCTGGATTTTTCAGAAGCCAGGCCAGGCCCCTCCCAACACATCTGGTCTGAGTGCACGCCGGGCTGGCCGGCTCGGCGCACACAGTCCTGCCACATGGAACCACTTGGGGTCAGAGTGCCCGCTCTCACCTCCCAGCCCTTGCGGACGCTGTTGCCTCCACTTTCCAAACTCCTACTCATTTTGGGGGTGTCCACCAGGAAGCCTTCCCTTGATACTCCCTCCCATCAGCTGCTATGTTAGTCCCCCTGCACTGTGCACTGTAGCACTCACCACACCTTTCACTGCAGTTGGTAATGCTCTGTCTGCCCTACTCGCATTATAAGAATAACGTTAGCAAGAGTTACCGTATGTCTGGGCATCCTGGGATGTACCAACAGTTAATGTGCTTGCCTGCTAACTGGGAGGTTGCTGGTTCAAGTCAACCCAGGGTGCGGCCAAAGAAAGGCCTGGTGATCTATTTCAAAAACTCAGCCATTGAAAGCCTGCGGGGCATAGCTCAACTCTGTCTCACACAGGGCCGCTGTGGGTCAGAATCAATTCAACGACACCTGGTACTTGTACGGTGTGTCTAACGCTTGCCATGTTCCAGGCAACGTTTTACAAAGATTGTTTTATTAAATCCTCACAGCAACCCGAGCTGCACACAACTATAATCCCCACAACTATAATCACAGGCTTGGTGAAGGCTGTGACTTGCCCACGGCCACACAGCCCAGGAGGGGTGCAATCAGGACCCTACCCAGGCCGTGCGGCTCCAGAGCTGCCAGGAGAGCAGGGGCTGCGTTGGCTTTGCCGGCCCTGGAGTCTGGGGCCTGGCAGAGAGCCGGCCCCAGGATGAACGGGTGCTGTCATTCGCCCGGGTCCTGAGGGGGAAGCTGCAGCTCCCAGAGTTCGAGCACAGCTGCATTAACCCAGCCCCGGCGGCCCCCACTGCAGCCCGGGGTTATTATCTGTGGGTTAAGCTCTGGGTCGTGTGACCATGGACCCGTAAGTGTCCTCTCTGGTTCTTAATATGCTCCTCTGTCAAAAGAGGAAATGATACAGGTGTCCTAAGGCCAACACGGGACAGATGAGGCAATGGATACCAACATGCCCTATAAACCACAGAGAGAAGAGGCCGGGGAGAGAAAGAGAAAGAGAAAGAGAATGTGTGTGTGTCCCTGGGTGATACAAATGGTTTGGCTGCTCAGCTGCTAACTGAAAGGTTGGAGGTTCGAGTACAGCAGAGGTGTCTCAAAGGAAAACTTGGTAATCCACTTCCCAAACATCAGCCACTGAAAACCCTACACAGCACTGTCCTACTGACACACAGGGGGTCGCCATGAGTTCAGGATCAACTCAACAGCAAGTGATACGTATATTTAGAGAGACAGAGAGATTGATTGGTTGATTGGGAGTCTTCCTTCTTCCCTGTTTTAAACTGCAACAGGGATGTATTTCAATCTGAGTGAACTGGGAGAACTCCCCTCAGTCTTTGGGTGTCTGTGATGGCCCAGGCTAGGGGGACCCTACAGGCTTCCCTAGACGCCCTTGCATAAGTCCCAGCCCTCAGGGCCCCCCCCCCCCAGAGGATGCATGAGGGAGGACCCCAGGAACCAGGCAACAAGACTCGGCCTGGAAGAGCTGGTGGCGTCCAGGACGAGGTCAGTCTTACCCAGCATGCCTTGCGAGTGCCAGGTGTACTCGTACCAGGTCTTGACGCGATTCTGCACAGACCTGGGGATCCTGTAGAAGTTCATGTACTTGACGGTGCTATCCATACAGCTGCGGTAGTAGGTCTGTCCTGCGGTGGCAGCTCCCACCACGTCTCTCATCTGGGAAGATGATTGGGGGTGTCAGGGAAGATTTCCAGTCAGAGTGCAGGACTATTCAATGGGTTCACACAGGCCAGGGATACATGCTCGCAGAAGAGAGAGGGAGACCCGTGCCCACACACAGGGAAGGTCTGACTGCTGGAGAGCAGACTGATGTGGGATGGGGAAGAACAAGGCTGCTGGTCCCTCTGGTGGTCTCAGTTCCCCTGGGCCATGTGAAGAGGGAACACTACATGGGGCTGGACTTGTTCTGGTTCAACGTGGCTCATGGTGCCAGCAGCCCCTTGTCTGGCCCCACGCTGGAGGCCATGTGACCAGGGCCCCTCCCAAAGGTAATTCTGAGAACACCTGGTTCTCACCTCCTGTACTGACTAGAACACAAAATGCCCCCTCAGCATGTTAAGGACCACCAGGGGTCTCCCAAAGGAAACACCTGAATCCTCAGCCTTTGCAGACACCATTCAACCCAGGTCTCCCCAACATCACAAAGAGACTGAAGCCTCAAACATGAAGAAACGTCAGGATCTTCGCAGTGGGGTCTACATCAGGGATCCCCCTCCACCACCAGGTCCCAGAGCTCCAGGCGTCTGACTCTGGCTTAGTGTGAAGGGAATGGACACAGATGGTAACATCTGTAGCAGCAGTGGGCGAGGGACTGCGGGCAGGGCCCTTACAGGCAGGTGGGAAGCCAGCCTGGTGGCCCAGCTACCTGTCCAATCATCACGGAGAAAGCGAAGACGCCTGTGAAGTAGTTGAGCAGCTGGAAGACGATTTCGAAGAGCGTCTGGGGGTCGGGCAGCCCTCCGATGGTGATGAGGGTCTTCACAGCCCAGTAGTAACAGCGAATGTAACTAAGAGAGAACAGAGAGGAGACCCACCCTACCAATCTTGGAGGTGTCAACCTCCACGCATTTTATAGTTTGCAGAGCATGTCTGTAAATGCAAATACTGTCTGGGTTGTTCTTTTCTTTTTTTTTTTTTTGTGGCTCTGTTCCAACCTTTTAAGGTCATGTTGTCAACCCCACTGACAGATGTGAAAAGCGAGGCTCCGAGAGATCACTAGGAAGAGTTGTCAGGAGGCAAACTGGGGTCTTCTGACTTCCTCCTTCAAGGAGGAAACAGCCCGTCCATGTTGACGGATTTCCTTTGCTATCCACCATATGTTGGTTCATGGAGAGCAAGGAAACCCAGGAGATTCCCAGCACTGAGGTGGAAAAATCCTGGGAATTACCTCTTCCGGTCCTCCCTCTTGCCCACTCACGTCCCAGGTAGTGAAACTAAGGATCCAGAGGAAAAGGGAGCACTCATGGTCACCAGCTGGCCAGTTCCAGAGCTGGCACTAAAACCCAGGGCTCTGCATGCTTCTCTCCTCTGTCACCCCACCATTAGTAACCCCCGACAGAGGTGAGTGAACCACTGGACACGGGGTGTGGGCATTGCTGTCCCACTAGGGACAAAAGGTTTAGGAACTGGCCCAAGCCTGTCTAAGTATCACAGGGCAGCCCGAGCCCACATACGCTGTCCATGTCTTCAGGCTGTGCCCTCGCAGGGGTCAGAAGGGAATGAGGACACAGGGCCTGTCCTGGCTGGCTTTCCCATGTCTTCCTGTCTCCTCCCAGCACACAGGAGCCATCTGGAGCCTGCCCTGACCCACCAATGCTCTCAGAGTCCCCGCTCAGCTGTGAAATCAAGACCAAATGATCCCATCTGAGAATGAGCCTGAACCAATCCCCCCGCAAGGCTCCATTCACCAGCTATTGCTGTGGTTAGAACATGGGCCCTGGGGACGGACCTTCTGGGCCAGACACAGCTCTGCCATGTTCTAGCTGCACAACCTGAACAAATTACCCAACTTCTCCAAGCCTCATTTTCCTTCTCTGTAAAATGGACAGTGGTGGAGCTAGATAGGATGCTAGGTGAGTGCCAGGCACATTGTGGACCCTCAGTGAACGTCAGAGTCACGATCTTCATTGCTGTTGGTGCCTGCCACGTGCCCACAGTGGGAGCAGAAGGGACTTGCCAGTGTCCTCACGAAGGATACCAACAGGTGGAGGCAGCAAGCCAATGTACAATGAGCGTAGGGAGGGAGAAGCAGAGGTTTCTGGGGAGTGTGGTGGAGGACTCTGCCTTGGGCAGTACTCTGGGTCCCTGCACCTCCCCTGCCCAGTGAAACCCACAGTCATGTAGGTTCTAACCACCAGAGGGCACCCAAGGCAGTTTTAAACCAAAAAACCAAACTCACTGCCTTGGAGTTGGCTCTGACTCATAGCAACCCCTCCTTGGGTTTCTGAGGTGGCATCACTACAAAAGTAGTCTTCCTTCTGAGGAGTGGCTGGTGGGTTCAAACACCAGCCTTCTGGTTAGCAGTCAAATGCCTTAGGCACTACACCACCAGAGCTAGCTAGACTAAACTCAAAACTCACTGCTGTTGAGTCCATTACATCTCATAGCAACCCCTCCTTGGGTTTTTGAGGCAGTATCTCTTGTGAAGAGTGGCTGGTGGGTTTGCATGGCCAGCCTGGGCCCCAAACCCCCTAGATCACTGGACACTCTCTTTGAGGTGGGTATTCTTACATCTGGGCCAGAAAGAGAGGAGACCCGGGATGGATGTCCTTCCTGGTCAGAGCAATTGTCCACTGGCATGGCACTTCTTAGGGGCCTGTCTGAGGTCCTCGTGTCTCCCACGTCCTCCATGCCCCAGCCTGGCAACCAGAATGGGAGAGCTACGGACAGAATGAGGGACCCAGCGTACGTAGGAACCCAAGTCCTCAAGCCCTGGGACATAGCAGGCACTCAGCAAATGGCAGCTGCTTTGGAGGTGATTATTTTCACTGTTAACCATGATGCGGCATTCTTGAGGAATCTCATTGGACGATGCCACTCTGGAGCGTAAGATCCAAACTCCTCATGTGAACTCACGGAATCCTCTTGGCAACCTGGGCCTGCCTTTTTCTGGGACATTTCTATACCCCACGCCCCCTCTGGCCACACAGGGCTGCTCCGTTCCTTGGTCCCATCTTTCTTCATGCTATTCCCTCTGCCAGGGATTCTCTGTCTCGCCTCTTCATCTATCAAGGCCAAGATCAAACTTAACCGTTCAGTAAAGCATCTCCTAACTGGGGTAGAATTGGCCATGTCCACCCCTTCCCACCCCTCTCCCACCCCCCATGGCACCGGGCACTGAGCTCGCACCCTTTTTTTTCCCATCCAGACAGATGGGACCATAGTTAAGATGCTGCATGCACACTGACACTGCCTGGGTTCAAATCCTGGGTGATGAACTGTGTGGCCTTGGAAAGTCACTTTACATCCATTATCTCATCTGTAAAATGGGCCCAATAATCGTGCCTTTCTTGTGTGATTAGGGGAGTCGAGTCCCTGGACAGTACGAAGGACAAATACACTTGACTGCTGACTGAAAGGGTGGCCAGTCCACTCAGAGGTGCCTCAGAAGAAATGCCTGGTGATCTACTTCCTGAAACTCAGCCATCATGAACCCGTGAAGCACAGCTCTTCTCCAACACATGGGGTCACTATGAATCCGAGTCGACTCCACGGCAACTGGCTCTCATAGGACTGTTGTTAGATGAAGTGAGTTCTCACGGGCCGTGCTTAGAACAGGACTGGTCTGTGGAAGTGACTACAATGCTTGCTGCTATTATTAGTGTTATCACTGCCATAGTCATCGTGATTATTTCAGCAGGTCCCATAATGTGTGGGAGCTTTCCAGACTGGCACTTGTTTCCCCGTTCCCTAATCGGTTGTGAGGCCTAGGGGGCTGTGCTGAGAAGGGTTTGGTGGCTCATTCGCACTCAGCCATGCATGTGGGGTGGGAGTGGCCACAGATGTGCAGTGGACTTGCAATCCTACTAGACTCTGGGATACTGAAAGGAGGGTCCTGTTCAGGTATGTACCCCCTCTGTCTGGCACAGAGTCTGTTACATGACAGATACTCAGGAAACATCAGCTAAAGAGACATGGAGACATGACCTTCAACGTTATCGTTCATTGACTCCTTGGGAACAAGGCAGCCTCAGCAACACGGCGGCAATGAGATACCTTTGTACTGTGAGTGGTAAAGAACAAGAATGTCATCTGAGCACGCCCAGGAGGACGGCTGTGGCTCACCCGTTCCCCACGCCATCGTAAACCCAGTGAGTGGAGCCAATGCCCTGGTAGGCCGACGCCCAGTAATATAGACAGGAGTTCAGGTGTAAACTGTAGAGCAGGTATGCTGTGGTCCTGATGACCCTGCAGAGAAGGAAACGGTGTGGACATAGTAGCAAAAGGGGTGGTGGTGACATCTCACTCCAGGGTCAGGACTGCAGAGGACAAGTCCGTCACCACCTCCACGTCCACCTCAGAGATGCTCCTGTTAGAACCACCTGGCCCCACAGCTGCTTGGCGAGATGGACACCTAGCCGATGGGACCCAATGGGGAAGGCCACTTGGATGCTCTTTTGAGACTAGGCCAGTTAGAAATGGTGGCACATGAATGGAAACTTGTCAAGACGTGGGGTCAGAATTGGCACAGGGGTAGCACAGCCATGCGTGTGCACAAGTTCTCAGGGCATGGACAGGCCAGAGGAGAAGCACACCCTTGGGGAGGAACAAGGAAGCGACACATGGAGGCCGTGCCACCCAGGAGAGGGGTGGAGAGGAGCTTATTCTCCAAGTGAGGCCTGGCTGGTCTCCCATCCCACCCTTGGACATCTGCAAGATGGCCTACTGGGCCCATATGTTTGAGCTAGGTCGGGAGGCTTAGTTTCCTGGGCTGAGACCAAAATGTGGCCCAGCTCTCTGGAAATGCTAGTGAGAAACACGTGTCAGCCCACATGTGTCCTTATCACAATGGGGGGAAACAGGACATTCCTGAGTCTGTAAAACACAAACACCCTTCTGGAGAAGAGGAGGTCAGGCCAGGAAGAGACCCCATGTCCGGGAGGAGGTCGGGGGGCCAGGGCGCTGAAGGAGGAGTGACGGAGGAAAGGCTGGCTGGCTCCGTTCTTGCTACAAAGGCTGCACGTCTGTGTGTGTGCGTGTGTGCGTACACTTCTGTGTGCATGTACATATGGGCACATGTGCATATGTGTGTGTGCATACGCTCAAGCGTGTGCAGGGGTGTCTCACCTGTAAACATAGGCCTTGCTGAGGATGGCTTCCAGGCGGTTGTTAAACTCGAAGAAGGCCATGTACTGGGAGGGAGAGCAAGGCGTCAGGGCGGCCCATCACCTGTGGGTGGCATGCTGCACGGCCCCCACCTCCCAGACCCATTCTCCATGGGTGCTGGGTCTGAGGGCCCTTCCCCGGCCCTGGGAAGAGGGGGCTGGACAGGGAGCATTCAGAATCAGAGGCCTTAGCCCTTTGCAGGGTAGGGGCCAGAAACTGCACTTAGGAATCTGAGGAAAATCCCAGCCCATGCCCCTCACAAAGTGCCTATCAGGGCGTTCACACAATTACATGTAATTGCCAATTGTGCACACAATTACATGTAATTACATGTAATTGCTATTCCCTCTGAATCCCAACATGAAACTCTGAGAGGTACATGTACCCCAGGTTAAGGACCCTGTTTTAAGTCTTTAAAAAGGCAATTTTATAAACAAACAGCATCCCTTACATCACTCACCTATATCTTTCAGTCGTATTTATAATAATACCAAAACCCAAACCAAACCCACTACGCCACCACCAAAAAAACCAAACCCCCAATTCCAACTCATAGCAACCCCTATTCGGTTTCCAAGCCTGTAAATCTTTATAGAAGGTGATTGCCTCATCTTCCTCCTGTGGACCTGCTAGTGGATTTGAACCACCAACCTTGTGGTTAGCAACTAAATGCCTTACCCACTACGCCACCAGAACTCCTTATTTATAATAATAATAAAACCCAAGCTAAACCAAACCCATTACTGTTAATTCTGACTCTTGGCAGCCCCATGTGTTACAGAGAATTGATACAAAGGGTTTTCCTGACTGGAATCTTTATGAGAGCAGATCACCAGGCCTTCTTTCTTCCCTGGTGCCACTGGGTGGGTTTGACCCACCAACCTTTGCACTTTATAATACTAACACTAATACAGGACTCACTGCTTTCCTTTACTGAGGGCCCAGTATATGACTGGCACTTTATATCCAATTCTCTCACTACTGATTTCTGTATGAGGTGTTATCATTCTCCTTTTACAGAGAGGACATTGGCATTCATGGAAGTGAAGTAACTTGCCCAAAGCACACAGGTGGTGACAGAGCCAGGATTCAAACCCAGATATGACTCAAAACTGCAAGCACTTTCCACTATGCTACACTGGCTCTAGATCTCTGTATAGCTCTCTGTTGACATGTGAGGATAATGCCATAATCCAGGTGTGTGTTCTGTCTACGCCGGGTTGAAACTGGATGGGAAGGACCTCACATTAGGCTCAAAGAGTTGCATCTTCTGAGTTGTGCTAAACGTTAGACCCCTGAGTTATGCACACTCTCTAGGACCACCAAGGGACCCGAGATGGGACCCACCTCTATATTTGGGCTAGAGCTTGGCCTGGGAGCCAGCCTTCCTCACCCCACTTTTGGCTCCAGGGCAAGGTGTGCAGCCCAGGAGGCTGGCAGCTCCTTCCTGTCCAGCCAGGAAGTTCGGGCGCAGCTTCCACACTCAAGCCCAGCACGTGTGGTTCCTTCTCGTCGGGTCCTCCCATTCCTCCTGCTTCTCTGGCCTGTGAAGGTCTCTGCGTTTGCCTCTTTTGTAAATTCCCTCATTACTCTTTTTGGGAGGAGGCATCATATAAGGAGACAGAGGTGAATTTAATTTATCAGCCAGCAAAATCCATTTGGGGGACCCTATGCGCTCTGACCACCTGTCTCCCCTGTTCAGACAGCTGTGGTCTTGGCTGCACGTTGTGCCAGCCAGACCCTCCGTGGGACATCAGCTCTGCTTAGCGTGTGTCACTGAGCACTGATCAATGATGAACCAGGTGTCCGGCTGCATGTTCAAATCCATCTTGGTCACTTCCTAGATCCTGTGGCCTCAGGCAAATCACCCAAGCTCTCCTCTGTCCCTTAGATGGAGACCATTATAAAGCAGTGGGCGCTCTCTTGAGAGGAGCCTCGGTGGTGCAAGCAGTTTGCAACTGACTGCTAACCTAAAGGTTGGCAGTTCAAATCCACTCAGCAGTACCACAGAAGAAAGGCCTGGCAATCTGCTTCCATAAAGATTATAGCCAAGAAAACCCCATGGTTCTACTCAATGACACCTACAACCACCCCCTCTCTGGAGAGTCTCTGTAATTCCTGAAAGCTTAGCCTGTGGAGACTGACTGCTGTGTTCAAATCTGGACTCCCTTCTACTGTGTGACCTTGGGAAAGTCACTTAACCTCTCTGTTCCTTATTTGTAGATAGTCATAATAATAACACTCACCTCAAGGGTTAGAGAGCAAGCACTTGTGGAGCCCCTGGAACACCTAACACATAGGGCCACAGGATGTCGTAAGGAGTTTCCCACTGAGATGCTTGTGGAGCCAACGTATCTCCCCAGGGGCCCCCTTCACAGACCCTGCCCCTTCCCAGTGCCACTGAGGACAAACAATAAGAAGCAAGGGCTGGTGCAGAGCTGGGATTGCACGCTCTCAATCAACCATCACATCAATGCCAGCAGGTAGGAAGGAGTTCCATCCCCATTGCACAGATGAGGCTCAGGGAGGCCATACCCTCATTGTGGCGCACCTGGGACGGGAACCAGGTCCACCTGCACTGAAGGCTGTCGAGTGTACCACTTCTCCACAAGCCCATGAGTCTTACCTTTAAACATCGGGGCAGGCGAAAGAGGGGGTTCACACCAAATTTCAAGTAGAGAAAGTCCAAGGGCAGGAGGCAGAGCAGGTCCATCTGGAAACCCAACATGGCACCATGTGTGTAAACATGTGAGCCCTGGGGTGGGGCAGGGTGGGGGAGAGGCTCTCTGCCTTCAGTGGAAAGATGAGGCCAGAAGGCCCCAGGAAGGGCCTAGAACTACAGGGCAGAGCCACCCCCACCAACAAGCCCCTGCTTGGATTCAAAGCCATGTGGCCAACCCCAGGGGTGACTTCATTACCATGGACAGAGGCTCTGTGCCCTATGGGGGAAGCTGGGGAGCTGTGCCAGTGTCCTGGGGCCGGGGGCCTGGCCTGGTGTCTAGAGGTCACTCCCACGGGAGATGGGACCAGCATCCCCCATGTAGCAGGAACCACATCACCCTGGTCCCCAGAGCTCCAGGGCCCCGGAAGCCACCACCTTCCAGACCCCGCAGGCACTGAAAACATGCAACGCACACACCTTGAAGCGCTCAGATTTCAGGTAGTTATTCCGCATCTCCTTTTTGTCCGTCTGGAAGAAAATGGGAGCGCGACTGAATGGCCTGAGAGTAGAGTCCCTGATCTTACGGGGCACAGAGATGGGAATCCCCACAGCACCTCCAGCCCCTGCCTTTGTGTTGGAGTCACGGGCCCATGGACATGGAGCCAGATTGGACCAGATGAGGTTCTGGGAAGCCCTCGTGTTTTACAAGTGGGGAAATGGAGCCCTAAGCAGAGAGGCTCCTGTCCAAGACTCCGGCTAGATTCTTAGGTGGAAAACAAGGATGTGTTGGCCCTGAGGGACCTGCTTCACTCTGTGACCTTTTACAACTTTGTTTATTGAGAAGCAGGCATCTGCTCTGCTCGGGCCAGGAAGGAGGTGCTTGGAAAGTCCTCTCTGCTCTAAATTGTTTTAGAAGCAAACCCTCCATTCACCTGGACACAGCAGAGCAAGCACTGCCAGTGTGGACACTTAAGAAGAGACTCACACAGGGAGACCAGTCTGTGCACCCCCCTTCCAATAGTCAGGGCCCCAGTTTCCTCCCTGGCAAGTGGGGACTGAACTAGATAGAGCACAGGGTCTCAAACTGGTCCAAGAAGCAGCGGACACCCTGAACTATGCATGTTTTTGCAAGACCCCCAGGGTACGCTGACTGCCAGCAGTCCCCTGTGCCGAGGAACCTACGCATCATCGCAGGCAATTCTCCCATCAACACCGTGAGTGGGGAACGATTGCTACGCCCATTATACAGACAGGGAAACTGAGGCTCTCAGCAGCAGTACAGCGAGCTGAGCTGGAGCTGGGATTTGAACTGAAACCCACTCTCCACACCACTTCTCCATTTTTAGTTCCATCTGACAGTCCAGGAACCACTGTGCCAACGAGTGACCCTCGGTGTCGTATCAAAGGTGCACAAAGAAGGCAGCTGTGCTGTCAAACAAGCACAGATGGCCGTCCCTGAGCTTCCCCTGCTCATCTGTTTGTCTGTCATAGCACTGGGGCTCCGGCCCCTAAGGCTGTGGCTGCGGGAACAGCCCCCGGTCACCCCCTCCACCTGCCTGTGACTCACAATGATGTCCCCGCCTTTGACAAACTGCAGGCGCAGCTGGAATACGGTGATGTCCAGGAGGTAGATGAGGTCACACAGGTAATCCATCAGCAGCCAGAGATGCACGTTGTCCGGCCTCTGGTAGGGGAAGGCCCAGCGCACGGGAATCAGCCAGCAGTTCCAATTCCAGGCCAACACCACGAAGAAGAGCCACAGGATGTACATCAGGTCTGCAGGGCAGGGAGGGGCGGAACGTGCTAGAATGTCCCCAGAGAGATGCGGCTCCTTGCTGTTGGGTCAGGGCGAGGCTTACTTTTCCTTTGGTCTGTACCTCCCTACAAGCACTACACATTGTACCATAAGGGCAGTGGGCCAGGCCTGGGGGACAAAACGACTGTCTTTGTTTAAAAATATCACTGCCAGGCCCTAATAAATCAGAGTACTCTGAGGGGGTGGGGTGGGAATATGGTGAGATCCTGAGATAATTCATTTTTGTTGGTATTTTTCCAAACAACCATTCCCTGCTTTAGTAAATACAGCATAGCAAATAATGCATGGTAGACAGACAGATGGGTAGACGAGTGGACAGACAGATAGATGGAGGGAGGAATGATGGGTATTGTAATTCACCCGGTCATGTTAGAGACCCAAAGGATAAGTGTGTGCAAAGCCCTAGGACTCAGGACACCAGGGTTGAAGCCCTGCCCTCAAATGCCTTCTTGTGTGACCTTGGAAAAGTCCCTCTCTGGCACCTGCCCTGTCGTTCTCAGAGAAGTCACAAAGAAACGTCAGATGAGAGAAGTAGACTGTAAAGTAAATTGTAAAGTGGGTTTTATCCTGAGGAAAGTGGAATGGGCTTCAAGGGAAGCAGGAGGAATCCACTTCAGATGTTGGAAGAACACCTGGCCTTTTCTGCTCAGCACAGGCGCTCCAGGAAGGAATAAGCCTGAACAGAGTAGAACTTGGCCAAGAGTCAGAAGACTCCGGTCCTGGGCCTGCCACTAACTAGCTGTGTCCTTAGATCAACTAACTTCCTCATGTACAAGATGAGTGTGACCTATGTTCCTAGTCTAGGGATTTTATTTTGGTTTTTAAGATCAGATGAGGAAGTGTGGAATCACTTTGGAAAACGTAAGTGTCCTTCACTGTCTCTCCACCTCTCGCGCTCCCCCGACCCTCTCCCATCACCCTTCCACCCTCCAGCTCCTCTCTCATTACAGGGGGCAGGGCTCCCCCTGCACTCACTGGTCAGTGGGTCGATGCTCTGGGGAAACTTGTACATCTTCCAGGGGCGGCGTTTGAACTTGCAGCACAGCATCTCGCAGTAATGCTCCTCCTCTGCCTGCCCCGTGTCGGCTCGCTTCACGTCTGGGGCCGGTTCTGGGGCTTTCTTAGCTGGGGCTGTGAGATGACACTGGTGACTGCCTGACCCGGCCCTGAGGCCCATGTGGGAGATGCAGAGCGAAGCCTTCCAACTGCAGCCCCTGGAACTGGATGTGAGGGAACCCCGACACCGCCCCCCAACCCACGGCCAGCTCTGTGGGCGGACACCAAGGCATGCTCCTGGAATAAGTCCCATAAGTCTTTCTGCAACAGTAGCTGAGGTGCACCACACCCCAGCAGCCCTCACAAGACACCAATCTCGAACTGCTGCTCAAGAGCTGCCCCAAATGAGGTGCTTCTGAGAAAGCTCACTATTGCAGTTTAGCTTCTGCGTCTGTGGGAGCTCTGGTAGCATAGTGCCTAAGGCACTTGACTGCTAACCAGAAGGCTGGCAGTTCAAACCCACCAGCCACTCCTCGGAAGGAAGATGGGGCAATCTACTTCCATAGTGATACTGCCTCAGAAACCCAAGGAGGGGTCGCTATGAGTCGAATCCGACTCAAGGGCAATGGGTTACGTGTCTGTATCTGAGCCCCCTTGGTTCCCTCTGGTGGACTGGGGGCATTTTGTATCTAGGGCTTCTGCCACCTGGGGTTGGTGTGTTGAAGGGGCCCAGCGCACATGGAAAGCGGGGAAGTGATGCTCTGGGTTTCTCAGAAGTAAGAATCTCAGCTTTTTACCTCTTAAATGAGAGACTGGATGAGCTCACGGTTTCCTTAAGCATCTTGAAGATACTCATTGGTGACTTAGGGATTGGTTCTTATAGGTTCAGTATGGCTATATTCTTAACTTTAAGACTGTGAAGTTAGGCCCTGCCAGGTCCATCATGGGGGCCATGAATTCCAAGGCACATGCTCCTCTGGGAATATCCAGAAAACCCTCCTTAATGAGAGGCAGGGTTTCTTCCTGACACCTTGAAGGTAAGGTAACTTCATGTAGCCCCATAATAACATTGCAACTGAGGCCTCTGAGAACTAAGACTTTCTGGTTCCAGAGTGGGTTGCAGACACTCTCTGAGTGTTAGACTTTGAGACATGTCATCCTGGAATGGCATCATGAGGAGAGAGGCAGGAAGGCCAATGGGGTACTTGCCCTGCAGGAGAGGGAGTCAAGTGCAACTGGACCATTGGTTAGAACTTTGACCTTCTTACCTCCCCCGGGTTTAGAGCTGTACTTTCGGGACCCAAAATCTAAAGAATGGAGATCAGGGGTCTCTCATGCACCCCGATCACTTCCTTGGATCCACCTCACCGTGAGACGACAGGGAGCTTTGGGGCTTCCACCCTACCTCTGGCCAGACAGGCTACTTCCCACTCCAGACTCACAGGGCTCGGGGCTCTCCTCATCAGAGGTGACATCAGGGTCAATGAGCTTCTCCTTGACCTTCTCCGTCCGCTCCTTGAACAGCTTCACCAGCTCCTGGAGCCGCTCGTTGATAACGGCGCTGTTCTGGCTGGCGGTGGAGGCTGCACGGTCCTCACCACTGTGGGAACGTCGCCCAAAACTGAATGGGCTGAGCAGGAAGAAAGCCCTGTGCCCCAAGCATGAGCCTGGCAGTGACTGCCTCCACCTGTCCCTATTTCCTCTGACAGCGGAATAGTCACCCCTACTGCTAGCTGTGAACACAGCGGGGCTCTGAGTCCACACCCACTGGGCAGAGTTTGCAGCACTCCAGGTCGACCAGAAGCAGCAAGAGGCCAGCCACTGGCAAAGTCCACCTTGACGAGAAGAGCTCCAAAGCACCCACGTGCCCCTCACACACAACTCCCCTCTCCCACTCACCCCACCCAGCCTTCTGGCTTCCTGAGACCCCAGAGGTAGCCCCACTTACTCTGTAGCCTGTGGAGTGGAGGGGTCTGACCAGGCAACCACGGGGGACTCAGCTGGCGATAACACCTTGAGCTCTTCGGCCTCATCGTCTTGGGAGGGTAGCCTCTTCCTGAGTGGACAAAAGTGGAGGCACCTTCAGCCTAGGGCAGGATCAGCCCAGGGGGACAGGAAACTGCTCTGAGCCCTGCAGGTCACCCAGGTCCTCTGCATCCCAGCCCCTGCTCCCACGTTCCCTTTGGCTGCTGTCAAAGGGTCTTATGCCTGGAGGGTAGATCATCTTTATGACTAAAAGGGAGAAGTCCAGCTAGTCTCTGGCTCTCAGTCTCCATGTCTGTTCAATGGGCCAGCACACAGGTTATCACCCAAGTATGCACCCCACTCCTGACTCTTACCAGCATGTATGTGACCTTGGGCAAGTTACTTAAACTCTCTGGGCTGCCTCAATTTCTCCTTCTAGAAAATGGGGCTAATCTGCCCAACTGGCAGAGATACCACTGAATGACTCAGTCAGGTCTCAGTTTACATGTCCTTCTGCTCCCCCTCCCTGTCTAAACCCCCTTCCCAGCTCGTTCTCCTCATCTTCCATCACACCCTCCTTTGCATTCAGCTACCAGAGAAGCCTAAAGGTTCAGGTCCATCTTGTGAACGCCCTCCTCAGAGCTCAGCCTCATCAGAGCCACCCCTGGTGGAAAGAAAACATCCCCATGGGCCACAGAGTCAGGCAGCCAGTTCAAGTCCCAGCCCTGCTCCACCTCAGGTCCAGCCCCTGCTGGAGTTCCAGCTTCCATATCTGTATGGTAATGCCTAAATATTCCCCCACATCCTCTATCAGTCAGGAAGTCCAAGCCTGCCACACACTGCCGCATCTGGGAGCAGGTTGAGTCTAGGTTGATGGTTTGGGGTATGTCCACTTGGATTTCAGAGATAAGAAGATTCTCACCCAACCTTCTCTACCTCTCCCCACCCACCACTACAGCTGGGCAGCAGGTTGGAGCATGGATAGTGTGACTTGGGGGTGGGGTGTAAACAGGTGGTATTTCTAGCCCCATTTTACAGCAGGAACATAGAGGCCTAGGAAGGTGAAGTGACTCATGTGAGGTCCCACATCTGCTAAGATGGAGAGCTGAGATACTCTCCAAACGGGAGCTTGAAGCTGTGATAAGGGCCTTGCATGTGAGCCCCTCTGTCAGGGCCTGTGGTTTTTGTGGCCTTTGGCTCCATCAGTTGTCCCCAGTGCTCAGTCCGCCCCGACCCAGGGCCCCGCTGGCCTCTCACAGCCGGTCTCAGGACCTTCCATCTCAGAGCCAGGCTTAGGCAGAGGCTCCCGGGTTTCTCACACTCACACACAACTCAGTGTTCTCTGCCACTGGCTTGTTTATTTGGTTACATGCTAATTGTCTATCTGAGCTCTACTAGAAGGTCAGCTCCCAAGGGCCTCTGTCAGGCTTCTCCGTGGCATATCCCCAGTGCCCAGAACAGAGCCTAGTACAGAATGATGCTCAGCATAGGTGAACCCATGGCGGGGTGAATGAATGACAGGGACAAGAGGAGCTCAACAGGCCCAGACCATAAGGGAAAGCAGGAGGCTTGGGCTCTAGTCCTACGTGATCTTTGTTTCTTTCCCCACCCTCAGGCATCTCCCACCTCAACCCAGTCAATATGGGGTCACTATGAGTCAGAGTCAACTCCATGGCAATGGATAGAAAGGGAACAGGAGGTAGACCTGATATTTACAATCTCTGTGGAGTCACTTCTGATGCTCCTGGTACATCTTGTGTATAATTTAGTGAAACTGAACACTGGGCTCTGGCTTGCCTCATGGGGCTGTGAGCTGTGCTCCTAGAGGAATGAGATTGTGGCTTTTCTTCCTCCACGTTAAAATCTGAGTCCTCAGTTTGCCACATTTGGCCATTTCCAATCTGGCAGTCTCCTGACCTGAGAAATAATACTAAATGGCTTGTGGATGAGAGCATAAATTAGTCAAGAAAAAAGAATCATCCCTCCAGCCAGCTGGTGCAGGAGGAGCAGCGGCAGCTCCACTGTGGCTTACATACCGACATTCACAAAGCATTGTACTGCACTTCACAGTTTGCCTGGAGTTACACGCAGGGCCTTGCCCATCACCTAGCTCAAGTTGTCCAAAATCAGCTTTCCCACATAGCAGCAAAGTGATCTAGGAGGCACAGAAATGTGCACAACCTTGACCAGGAGTCCCACTCTTGGGGAGGAAAGGCAAGGGCAGAGAGCTGAAGACCACGTTCACAATGTCACTGTGCAGAGTGCCCAGCAAGAGGGATTTGCTGAGTCCATTCTGGCTCATGGAGCTGGTAGACTACCCATGCCACAGCCGGCATGGCGAGTGTCAAGGAGACAGCCCAGCAATATGGAAAAGGGCTCACAAATGAGATGAAGCAAAAA